TTTATTACGGATGATGAAGCGTCTTTGATCCATTAATCTTTGTTCAATTATATCACTTTCCAGATGTTTTTCCTTCGACAGTTGCATCATTCTTTTTTTGAAATCCCCTGGCTGTTGGTTCTGCCTGGTAGTAATATTTGAGGATGTCTCTATTTTCTTTGGTTGTCCAAATTTTGCACTTTGGTTCCAGTTGCTTTGCAGTTGCACGCCCTGGTTCCCTGGCATTAACAACTGAGCCCTGTAGCCCCTTTTTTGACAGATGTCCAGAAGCCATAGCATCTGACACAGTCCTCCTTGACCCGGGTGACGACCAACCTGATGTGGAATTCTGTTGATTTCTTCTCATCATTAGTGATGGTAGGTGCCTGGGTTGGTTCTCGGTGGCTAAGCCACTATTGATCCAAGATGATAATCCCATAGAAACCACACCAGATAGCTGTCCAGGCCCAGCCATGGTAGGAAAGTGGTCTACCCTCCTGCTTGGCAGTAGGAAGGCAGGATAAGAAATGGAGGGGAGGGAAGCAGCCTACTTTTCTGTTTGGTGGTAGGAAGACAGGCTCAGGAATGTGGGGGGAAGGAGAGGGAGGAAAGAGGCCTGTCTTCTTGTTTGAAGGTAGAAAGGCAGGATTAGGAATGCAGGGGGGGGGAGGCCTACCTTCCTGTTTGGTGGTAGGAAGGGCAGGATCAGGAATGGGGGGGGAGGAAAATGGCCTACCTTCAATTGTTGTTGTTATTATTATTTCTTTTATTCATTAAACATGAAACTCAGTCAACTGAAGTTTTAAAGATGTGTCACAAATACCATTGACTGGTGCTAATGGTTGATACAGGTTACTGCCAGCACCTTAGGTGTCAACCAAGTATTCTTAAAATATATGATGTTCCTAATAGTGCAGTTTTTTGCAGTTTTGTAAAATTCTCGGACATGGTACCAAGTGCCCCAATGAACATGTATCACTGTTACATGTTTCATCCATAGCTGTGTAGCTTCAATGGCCAGGTTGCAATATTTCATGATTTTTTCCAGGTTTTTTTTTCTTCGACTGGCATATCCTGGTACAGCGATATCAATAAACTGTACGCTTCAGCCTTCCACATCCTTGATATCTGGCGTGTTGTGTTCCAAATGACAATCCGTCTGTATTCAAAAGTCCCACAAGATCTTCACCTTCTCATTTTCGGTAATTTTTTCCACTTTGTGCTCCCATGACTCTTTGGATAAAGGTAACTTGTATTTTTTACATAATGACCAGTAGATTAATTTAGCAACTCGGTCGTGTCTTTATTATTATTTTTATATTTTTATTTTTATTATTATTATTATTATACAATTGTATCACAGCGGCCAGTTGTTTCGCTGGATTTGGCATTGGTTACTAGTCGGGCCCCACCCAGGGGCCTAGGATGTCATAACATATTTTTGTAATATGTGTGCAGATCCAAGCAGTGCAGCTTTTTGCACTTGACTGATGGCGATTTTGTCAATTTTTAACTGCTTTAAATGTAATTCCAGTGCTTTTGGAATAGCACCCAGTGTGCCAATTACCACTGGAATTACCACTGCTGGTTTGTGCCATAGTCATTGAATTTCAATTTTTAAGTCCTGGTATTTTGCAATTTTTTCATGTTCCTTCTCGGCAACCCTGCTATCACCTGGTATTGCGATGTCTATGATTGTGACCTTATTTTTCTCAACCAGTGTGATGTCTGGTGTATTATGCGCCAGTATTTTGTCCGCTTGTACACGGAAATCCCACAAGATGTGACCATCTGATTTTCGGTGACTTTTTCAGGTTGATGTTCCCACCGGTTTGTTGCTGTTATAATATAATTTTTGCACAAATTCCAATGGATCATTTGTGCTACTGAATTGTGCCGCAATTTATAATCAGTCTGCGCGATTTTTTTACAGCAGCTGAATATGTGATCAACAGTTTCATCAGCTTCTTTGCAAAGTTTGCATTTGGCATCATCAGAGGATTTTTCGATTTTGGCCTTAATGGCATTTGTGCAGATAGCTTGTTCTTGCGCAGCCAGGATTAGTGACTCTGTTTCTTTCTTTAATGTATCTGTTGTTAACCATAACCAAGTTTGTTCACTGTCCACTTTATCTTTTATTTTTTCCAGAAATTGGCCATGCAGTGCTTTGTTCTGCCAACTCCCCATTCTTGATTTTATCACATCTTTTCTGTATTCTTGTTTCGTCTGTTGGGCCTTCAGTAGATTTTTTATCTTTACTTCGATTATTATTTTTATGATGTAGTAGTAGTAGTAGTAGTAGTAGTAGTAGTAGTAGTAGTAGTAGTATTTTATACTATACCATATTACACTGCACTGGACTACACAATACTAACTACATTCCAAAAATCATGCTTTGGATTAATATAAAATGGAAGCTTTCAAATTAAATTTCATAGACAAGACAAATGTCTTTTTTTATCCCTTTGTGTGTGTTTATATGTGTATTTGTGTGTTCATATGTGGATATGTGTAATGTGTGTATATTTCTCTTTTGTACTTCTGCCTTTCTTTTATAGCTGTTTCATAACTTCCTGCATTATGGAATTCTTGACATAATGGCATTTCACTAGAATGAGAAATGTATCCAAAAAAGCCATTGCATTGTGTTTTCTTTCATTTGCTCTAACATTTAGCTCTAGTGATACTCAACAATATTGATAAATTGTGGATGCATAAATAAGATAAATGAGAACACATTTCATTGATTTAAGCTAATGATATAGTACTTCAAATCATAGTATGACTAGTATTCATTTTAATATATGAGATTTGGTCCTGGTGTAGAATATGGATTCTTTTTAAATGGCTTTTTAAATATGTTCATCAATGGTTTTCTAAATTATATTAAAACAATAACAAATCACTAGACCTTTTAAAATTGAAATTGGTTGCACCATACTATATTGTAACCAGATATACAAGATGATGGATTTATTAATATTTATTTTTAAAGGCCAGAGAAGAGGAAATGACCAAAAAAGTAAATAAATTGGAGGAACAGCTGGTGCAGTTAGAGGACAATAAAAAAAGATTAGCACATGAAGAAAGTTGGAATGGTGATGAAGTAAGTTGTTAAACATATTGGTGTTTCTAATTTTTCACTTTGTTTTTATATTTAGTTTTATTGCAGCCTCCTGCAACACAGTTTGCTCACTATATATTATTTGTTTGTTAATATGTTTGATTGCTATATTTGCTCGTCTCAACATATGACTCTGGGTGAGATATATAATAAAATGTAAAAACAAATTAAAAGCAATTACAATAATACAAAATAAATATATATAAATTCACCAAGTGCATCTATTGCTATGGATATTAATATAACCAAGAAATGGGGCCTTTAGTACACTCAGATGCCCAGGTCTGTGCATGCAACCAAATTAATGGTCTTACAAAAGGTCAACAGGGTTAGATCATACTGATGTCTGAAGGAAAATGTTCCAGGAGGTAGGTGCTAAAGAGAACGTATAGTTCCTGCCACCCAATATTTTTTGGCTGATGGGACCTGTAACATACCCAACCCGCCGGATTGAATTGGATGTATAGAAACAACTGGAAGGAGATGCTCCCTTAGATATTCCAGGCAAAATCCATGAAGGATTTTAAAGGTTGATAACCAGCACTTAAATTGCATTTAAAATACACTGCTCACATAGCAGTGATATTACATGTGTTGAAACAGTATTGATGTTTTAATACGTTTTGTTCTTTTGTATTCCCTAGGACAAAATAGCAGAACTTCAGGTAAGAATGACTTCACAAATACATTCGTTTTTAATGTAGCAATGTCAATGAGGCATTTTTGTCTTAAGACATTGATGGCTAACCTTTTTGTTGTTGTATGCTGAAAGCGCACACGACAGCATGCGAGCCCACACCCATAATGCAATGCATGCACCGCAAACACACCATGCCCCGCCTTCTGTACATACGCGCACAACCCCCTTGCATGTGTCCCGGACTCTGCGCATACATCTGCGACATTTTTCAATTTCAATTTAATAAAATTTGTATGCTGCCCACTCTCTTGGGACTCTGGGCGGCTTACAGGCAAGATAAAAGAAGCATTTAAAAATTTAAAATAAAAGATACAATTATTAAAATTACAC